TTATTTATGTGTGTGTGTGTGTGTGTGTGTGTGTGTGTGTGTGTGTGTGTGTGTAGAGAGAGAGAGGAGAGAGAGAGAGAGAAAGAGAGAGAGAGAGAGAGAGAGAGAGAGAGAGAGAGAGAGAGAGAGAGAGACTCACTATGTAGCTCTGGCTGCCCTGGAACACACCAGGCTGGTCTCTAACCCACAGAGATCTGCCAGATTTTGCTTCTCCAGTGCTGGGATTAAAGGCATGAGCCACCAAGTCCCTCTAGCTTTCTTTCTTTTATGGCCCAGGACCAACTGCCCAGGAACAGCACTGCCCACAGTAGGCTGGGCTGTCCCCCATCAATCATTAATAAAGATAAATGACCCTCACATATGCCCACTGGCCAATCTGATGGAGACATTTCCTTGACTGAAGTTCCCTTTCCCCTGAGTAGTTTGTGCCAAGTTGACAAAAAGCTAATCAGCCTGCTTTATTTTGTTTTGTTTGTTTTGTCTTGTTTTGCTTTAATGGCAAAGGTGGCCATTGTTTACTTCAGGTCTTATACATATTTGTTGATCATATAAAATAGTCCCTGTGAAAGGATTTAAAACAAAAAACTAAGTTTTATCAGTTTCCAGATGCTCTAAACTGATCAAGGGGACGAATTTTTGTATTCACTTCTGCTTACTGAAATAGTATAGCCTAGGAACCTGAACTTTCCAATTCCCCTCTATTCTTTAGTCATCCAACAAAGAGGTCCAGACTGGAGAACTTTGCTTAGCAGAGCATGGTAATGAGTTTTTTTAACTTTCAAAAATATTCTCAACAAAATCAAGTCTAAAAAGTGAGATGTATCTATTCCCTTAAAGCTGAGGAAGTTTTGGGTTTCCGAGGAAATCCAACATGAAATGAGAGGGGCCAGAGACAAAAATAGGAAACAGGGCAGATGAGAAATCTGCCTGGAGATTTCTCTCTCCCTGGAGAGAGTGAACAGAGCAAGTGTGTAAGGGGAGGACCTAAAGTGACGGTCAGGGAACTGTGGGCATCCCAACATTGGCAGGATGAGTGGAAGAGGAAACCCAGAAGTATGAAAAAGAAATGACTAGAGAGGTAGGAAGAAAAGCAGAAGGCTGTGAGAGTGTCCAAGGAAAGAAAAAGATAGCTTGTGTTCTTAGATTTCAATACCATGCATGCTCTAGTGGTTTTCCCTGGCCCTCCTAGGTTCTATAACAAGGTTCTTTGACAAGAAAAAGGATTAGCAGAAGAAAATGCTGATCAGTCACAAAAGGTTAACAGAAAATAACTGAGAGCCTCACCATTCAGTTCCCAGCATGTGCTTCACTCATAAGGGGGGAAAGCAACCAGTAACTTGGAGATTTTATTATCATTTTAACAGAAAGATAAAATTATGGAGAATGGCTAGGTTAAGGGCAAGGAAACTTTAGAGGGTGGTAGATGCATATGGGCTTAGATAGTCCTAAGAATGTAAGGTCTCATCTCATGTATGTGGACTCATCCCAGTGCTACCTCCAACACCAGTTAGATAAGGGATGTTTCCCTCGTTCCAGTACAGGGCAAGGGAAGGAGGCACTGTCAAGGCACATGTATGTCCTGATCTTATAGGTGGATAATGGAAAGGCAGAGAACTCTTCCATTGTCTGCTTTTTTTATAATTCTTTCAGGTCAAAACAGTCCTTATACCAAGATGGTATATTCTGTTTCTCATCTAGCCAGCTAAGCATCCACGTAATCCACTTTAGCTGTTCACTAGACTTCTCAACATCAGCACCCCATTCTCAGCAGCAAAGTCTTTTATACTTTTGTTTTAGGGAAAAAATGTAAGAAAGATAATGATACTCATTTGGGAGAGAAATGGCAGCCAAAGAGGAACAATACTATAAGGTGAGGACAAGAAATGGCTCAGAGGAATTCCTCACTACTATCATCAGTGGCATAAACACACTGAGCCATTGAAAATGAGTAATAGAGAGAAGAGGGGATGCAGAACTTTAACTCTTAGGTTATATGTACAAATATTCACCAATGTACATGTTTCTGAACACAATAGGGAGCTGTGTGGGGTGGTTAACCGAGTATAAAAGATGGCATGGTGTGCAGAGGGTAGTTAAGGACAATTAGGAGGCTGTCACAGTAATTGTTCAGTGAGTAACCATGATCTGATGAAGACAATGATAATGAAGAGAAGAATTACAAACATCCCAGTTGTACAATCTGTAGGTGGTAAATGACTAACACTAAGACATGGTTGGGATACTTTTAAGGTTTCTAGCATGACTGAGTGGATAATGTAGTGATCAAAATTACAGATATGTAGTGAAGGGTAAAGGTGTTGCTGGGGAATGGGGATTTCTAGTGCAATACCCAGTGCAGACATCCAGAAGAAGGTTGGAAATACATATTCATGCAGGATGTTAGCATTAAAATGAAAGTGTGCCTGAGTCTCCAGAATATGCAAAGAGGAGAGAAACGAAAAATAAGGAAATTTCTACAGAATACTCTTTATTCAAAATCCTCGTGAACATAATTGTCTCAAATTTTGGATTTTTATGGGAAAACTGAATCTTTGTATATACATGAGCTCTATTGGTTTCAAATACATCTGGTATATATAATTAGAAATTAATGTTACACACTATTTCCAGTGTGCCTGCATTTTTCCTGCAACTCATTACTTAAAGTCAGATATGTTCTTTTCTACTTGTAGCATTATGCCAATATTCAAAATATTTGAGATTTTGAATGTTTGAATTAAGGATGACCGGCCTGAAATTGCAACACCATCTTGGCAAACAAAGCTCAGTATGTCTGCCTTGTAGGACTGAGAGGCAGATTTGCAAAAGTGCTAGAACTATGTCATTTCCTACTCCTCCACATTTTAGAAGATATCTGCCTAATGGGGAGAAATTTTAAAACCAAACAACGCAGGGTGTTTCATAAGGGGAGATAGGTATAGGTGAGGAGCCCCTTCTTCAGACCCATACTAAAAATGAGTATTCAAATTTCTCTCATCTAATTTTTGCCCTATCAACATAATTCTTGTACATTTCCTTGTCTCATCTAAACTGACCCTCTAAACACTTTTTAAAAAATTGACTACCACTACAACTGAAATACAAGTATTACTTTTCAAAGACAGTATACTGTTGCCTTGGTTGGAACAAAAGCGGGAAGGATGGGTTAAAGACATATTGTATCATAAAGGCCAAGATGGAGAATATGTGAACAATCAGTATTGTCAAATACCAAGTATGATGCTGGCTGAAAGAAAACACTAGACTTTGGAAATGAAATTTAATGGATGGGAGAGAGAAAGAAGAAAACAAATTGTGGTCTATAGTGCATGGCAAGGAGAACATGTGGACAGTAAATTAAATCTCTTCTGGAGGTAATAAAAGCCATAGTTTGAGAGGGAGCTCATAATGGTTAATCTTGGTTTTCTACTTGATTGAATCTGGAGTCAACTAAGACAAGCCACTGGATACATCTACAAGGGATTTCTTTATCAGGTTTTTGAAATGGGAAGACCCACCCCAAATGTTGGTGGTACTTTTTTGTGGCAGCCCTTACAAAAGGAAGTAGAAGGATGCTTTTGCTTTTGCCCGCTTCCTTTGCTACCACTGGGAAGCTCACCTGCCCTATTGATGCTTCTGCTGCTGCATTCCTTGTTATCAGGGTGCAGATTCTTCCAGGTGCTAACATGTACAAACACCAACACATCTCTAGGAATCCTCCAGACTTTCAGGACCAGACTGGGATGCTTAGCTACACAGCCTCACAGACTGAGCAACCATGAGGGCTCTTATCCTCTCCAATGTGAGACAACCATTGTTGGACAACCCAAATGGTATTATGTAACCCGATGTAATAAATTCCCTTTTAATATATATTCAAGTGGTCTGTTCCTCTAGAAAACCCTGACGACACAAGGCCACAAAGGAATTTCCATTCCTTGTCATATATAGTACTAACCTAACCCTTTGTATTTAGTAAGCATTTAATCTGTATCAAGTCAAATAGCATGATTTCAGTTACAGATCAACTGTCCTATAAAAACAGTTCAGTGTCTTCCAAATAAAACAGCACAGAATAGAATCATCATTTGGGTAGGAAGAACTAGAAAAAAAAAAGGTATTTTATGTTCTAAGCACACACCCAACTTACAGATCACAGTGGGAAGGAAAAGTGGCTCCCTTGAGAATAGAATCGTATGGTTTTTAAAAACACCTTCAGCTATCTTACTTTACAAAAAGATCAGGCATCAAGTTGCAGCAATTCACCCTAATTATATATTAGTCATTATGTTAGACATAAGAAAGAGGACTTCAAGGATTTTGAAATTATGTGTTTACAATGCAAAAGTGAAAAAAGCCGACAACCATGTTTCATGTTTGTGGACAGAGAAAATGGATAAATTCAACTTACACACACCATGTGTACACATAAAGTGGGAATAAAGGACAAAAGAAAATTAAAATAATTAACAGACCTGAATGGTAGAATTAAACTGTATTGTCTTTACCTTATTTATATCTCCCAATTTTCTACAGCTACAATGGTTTGAAATGCCCAGTGTCATGGGAACTTGCATCTAAGCACGTCCCACCTATCTGACCACCTTCTGTTTGGTCCAGAAGGTCTAAAAATGACAACAGTCACCTAGTAAAACGCCAGACTAGAAGAGGTCTGCAGTCCCCTACATCTCAACTCAGCCTTGCTCTTCCATCTTAACTTCCTTCCCTGGGCTCTTCCTGACTTCTGGAGGCTGAAGATGACTTCTGAGGAGGCACCCGGGGAGTGGGATACATTCCCAGCTCTTGGAAATGAGCAGGGTAACCCACCCCTCACCCTGAGAAAGGGCTGTTGACCGAGGTCTCCACCTACACACTCATTACACGTGTTTCTATCTCTGACTCTGAGGATGTCCTTCACCAAACTCAAGAGAGGCGCAGCGGGCTGGCTGGGGCAGGAAGCGCCACAGGTGACGCTGTGGGCCCCTCAGGAAAGGCCTCACCCTCGACGGTGACTCTGAGGGGTGGGGCGGGGCATCTGCATTTAGAAGCCATCCAGGTGACTCCGACGTCCAGTCAGGGGAGAGCCTCTTCCCGGCCTGCAGCCCTGACCCTCTTCGCGACAGCCTCCGGGTGCCAGCCTCCACTGCCCGAGGCCACGCGGGCACGACCGGCCACCTCAGGGCCCCCCCCA